AAAGTTGGTCTAAAGATTGTGTAGTAGCCATAGAATTGCGATGCCAGTGGAGAAGTAATGGAAGTTGGTCCAGAAACATATGAAGTTCTGCTTGAGCAAGGGGATTGAGGACATGGCCCCTAGTCATGATGTCACAAGCCCATCGAAGGTTCTTGAGAGGGACTTCGTCCTCGAGAAGATTAAAGGGCAAGTGAGAGAAGGCTGCAAGCAAAAGTTGAGCCTGTTTCCGCTCAGCTGGGGTAGGAGAAGGCAGAGGTTTATAAGGTGGAAAGACATTCTCCGTGGATAGGGCAATCTTCAATTTTTCTGTCCAGGAAAGAATTGGTAGGGGAGAATCAATTTCGGGAGACGAAGAAGAAGGTGTAGACGCTTCTGTTTTCGAGGATGATACGGGAGCAGAAGGAACAAAGGCATTAATATAATCAAGCCAGTCCGAAGAATAGATCTTCGCCTTCTGAGCTAAGAATGATGGGTTATACCCTTGTGTTTCTTTTGGGCGAGGAGCAGAGTGCACTATCATTGTAGGCATGGAAGAGGTATACCATGCTACAAGAAGATTCTTCTCCAGACTACGTCGATGGTCAATGGGCACATAAGGATAAACAACTGAACTTCGAGCATAGGAGGAAAACTCTAAAGGGTCAGTGAACTCAACAAAATGGTGGTTGATTCGCTCATTTAAATCATAAGTCTCAGGTACTGACCAGCTTGTCCAGTCAGAACCTCCAGAAGAGGAAGAAGTTGCAGCTTTATCCCATACAGAAATTTGCGAAGAGGAGTTGCTCAAATCCATGTTTGCAATTTTACGAATCAGAGGTTTGAGAGCAGATTGTTCGAACTGTAAAGGTAGGTCAGAGGGGAAAATTCTTATGTCTTTGTTTGTAGCCTTCTGAATCGAAGGATTAAGAGCAATGTGTTCGTAATCCAAAGGTCGGTAATTTGCAAAGGCGTCCATGACCTGAATATAGAAAGGTAAGTAAAGGTGGCTAATAAATGCATGCTTTCGACGAGGAATATCATCGACATATGACTCTTCGTATGCTTCATCATTGGAGGAAAGGATTAATTTAGCCATGAAGTATATCAGTCTGTTCGAATAATAAGACAGTGGAAGTACTTAAAGGATCAAGACGAGAGTATTAATACAGATGGTGTGCGACAGTTGCATTTTTGGGAAGATGCAAAACCCATGCACGTTCTAAAACGTGGGAAAAGGGACTCTGATCCACTAATATCACCAAGTCTTGGGTATATTAGTGCGGGGGGTAATGTTGGCTACACATTTTGTACTAAGCCAGTGACAATTCGACGCGTGGCAAAGTGAGGGTAACATGGGGAGACCAGGTAGGTCTTCGATCCTGATCATACACGTGGCAATTAATATTGATCGTTATAAGATCTGAGTAGTAGCGGATCAACGAAGAGACGTACAGTGACGTGGCTTCAACGGTTGCTCACATTCAAATTCGAATATAAGGGGGAAGCCTAACTGCAAGTGAAGGCGTAGTGGAGCTACTTATAAGGTAGCATGATCAGCGATTACGCAGGAGCAGTTCGACGGTTTGAAATTCGATGGTTATCTTCGGAAAGTATAAATAGCAGGAAGGACTTCAGAGAAAAGGGGCGATAAAAGATCTAAAAAATTACTTTACATATTCCAGTGTTATTTCCTGTCCTTTATATTTCTGTACTTTAAGTTCCTGCGCTGCACTTCATTTGTAGGAGTAGTTTTTGAGTATATTGCCACTGTAATTCTCTACGGAACTAAGATCATTGTAAGTTTTTCATACTAATGAAATACTTCAGTTTATTTAACTGTTCTTATGCTCAAGTTTTCTGAAGTCAAATTACCAGTAAGCCATCATTAAAAGTCCTCTTTATTGAGGCCGAAAGAACCATAACACAATCGTCTGAATAATTGTTTGGCAATTACAATTCTGTAAGAACTGATTGATCCTTGCTGGCACGCTCATAATTAGGAAAGTAACCTTCGAAAGCCAAAAAACCAACAAAAACATAAAGGGACAAAGTGTAACTTACCCTCATAAAGAGGCAAGGTGTAACTTACCCCCCCTTTTTTTTATCAATCATGTTTTTAGTTTTTAGTTTTTATAGACCATAAAGAAAATCTTCATTGTAAAATCAATAAACAATTGGATCAATTTGGTATAGCAATATTATAAGATATAAAAAAGAGATAAACAACATCTATAAAAATCAAACCTCCACAGAAGAGGAGAAAAAGCCCTCCACAAGGGAGGGAAAACAACCCTCGCGTAGTAATGTTTGTTATTACATCAACAATCTAAAAATTAAGAAAATCAAATCAAATAAATAAAAAACTAAATTCAAATCACCACTAAACTTCAACTGGAAATTTGAAAACCTCTCCTCCGTTGGTTAAGATAAAATATTGAAGTTGAGATGGTCATAAACCTTAAAACAAAAGCTTTATCCAATATTAGTTTTCGGACTATGAAAATATATGAAGTCAAATCTTAGACTTTTAAGCTTGAGAGTGAAAAAAATAATGCAACGAAGGTCAGACTGTTAAGGCTAACATCAAACTTTGGCTAATGACCAGATCTCAAAGAGGATAATAAGAAGGGAGATAAGAAAGAGATCGGTGAGATAGAGAACCATCGTCATCTTCCTATCATCTGGCATAAAATTCCAAAAAGAAAAGCAAGAGAGATTTTTAGAGTTTTCAAAGATAAACATGTTTTCGAATAATAAATTAAATTAGTAATTTAATAAAGTTTATTTGTAAAATAAAATTTGTTGTCAAAAAATATTATTATTTTTGGGAGCCACTATTCCTATTCAATTTTTCTTAAAATACAGTATCTTCTTTGTTTTTTATTATACATAGTTATATTAATATCCTTTAAAAATAGACAATTGAGGTATATGTGCGAAAATAAAAAGGGTATGAATGTTACTATGTATAACAAAAACAAAAAAGAGAGTGTATTGGAGTAAAGTGGAGTGATAATAACGTCTCCCTTATTTTAATAGAAAAAGGGTTTAAAAGCGTGAGTCTTAGAGGGTGTTTGAAATGATATAAATAAGTATATTTTTTGACTTTTTATAAAAATATATGCAAAGAAAGTAAAAAGGTAATAATATGACAAAAAAAAGATAAAAAGATAAAAAAGTATACTTTTGTAAAGAATGGCAAATAGTGCCTTAAAAATTATTTTCTATATTTTGAATAAAAACATCTCAAGTTGGCTATCAAATTTGAGAGAATAATTTGGTTTGGTGGGTCTATTCCGTGACTAATTTCGGTAATTTGAATAGTTCACATTTTAAGATTCGTTGAGTAAAATATTAATATAAAAATTTAGGAAAAATTAGTCTAAGGTCACTCTCCCATATTTAGTAATGGAAGAGATCCACAATTTTATTTTATAATGTCTAAGGTCCCTCAACTTCCACACCCATATATCACAAAGAAATTTGACTATCTTGAATCAAACCTCATTTTTTTTTCTTTCTCTGCTTTCCCTATTTCGCGATGGTGAAGATCTGAAGGTGAAAAATATTTGTAAGAATTTGGGACAATTGATCCAAAAGTCGATCGAAACCAGACACTCCAAGATCCAACTATCTCCTCTCTCTTCGCGCACCAAAAACCCCTCTCTCATTTCACCAAAAAATGGCGTCTAAAACCCTAGTTCGGACCGAAGCTTCTCTGATGAACCGATTATTGAATCCATTGCTTTAGCAACAGTAGAAGAACACAAGCTCAAACCATCTGATTGCATCAATGATTTTCCTACATTCTCTCTCCAAGTTCCAGATCTCTCTCAATTTCCTCCACTACGACTTCGATCCCTTCAAAAGACTTTCTTCCGATGGATTTCTCTACCCATCTGGCCTTCTTTCTCTCCGATTCTTCTTTCCCAACAGTACTCTCTCTTTATATTTTTTATTTTATTTTATTTTGGTGGATTGTTTGTCTGTATTACAAATTACAATGTCAAAGATTCAAATTGTGTTATTAAAACAAGCGAAAAAGAGTGTAATTTGACATTTGTGAGCTCTATAGTTGTAGAATCTGATTATTTCTTGGCATGAATACAGTGATCAATGTTACTGAAGCATTAGCTATGGGGATTTTCAATTTCTACCTTGTAAAATATGTGAATTGAAATTTTCTATCTTGGGATATTTTTCTGGAGAGTGGGAAGTATATGCAAGGCAGAGAAATTTGAAATTTCTTTAGAAAGTCCATGAAAGGCTAGGGAGGCCAGAGAAATTTAAAATTTCTCTTGAGAGGTAATTTTGTGAGAAGGTCGGTGAAGTCAGAGAAATTTTCAAAATTCTCTGGAGTGTTGAGCCCAGGAGTTTTGATTTCAATATTTAGCTGTTGATTGTTGTTTGACATAGAGATGATGGATGATGGCCAGAGAAAATCACAGGGGTGAGTATGTGATTTGGTCAGAGAAATTTGAGAATTTCTTTGATTTGGAGAGAATTTCTCTGTGAACCAGAATTCTCTGTGAAGTCCAGAGAAAATTCGACCAGAGTGAATTTCTCTTAATTGAATTTTCTTTGGTTTGGACTAGAGAATTTCTCTGGATTAAATTGAATTTTCTCTGATTTTGGACCAAAGAATTCCACTGGATTTAATTTTCTCTGGTTTGGACCAGAGAATTTCTCTGGATTAAATTGAATTTTCTCTGATTTTGGACCAAAGAATTTCACTAGATTGAATTTTCTATGGTTTGACTTGAGAAACCTTAAATATTATGAAAATATTAGATATCCTTTATATTTTAAAGTCTTAATACTAGGGACCTTAAAAAAAAATCCCAAAAATTTAAGATGATTGAATATAAGTAACTATATGTTTGGATCAAATTTATAGTAAAAAAAAAAAATTATTTTTAAAATTATATGTTCCATATATATTTTTAAAAAAATATATATAATTATTTGAACTTTTTATTTAAATATTCTATTTAACCTATAAAAAATAAACAAACTAAAAATAATATCTCGGAAATGAGCCCAGCCTCGCATAACTCTGACGCACCCCTGCTCCCAGGTTCGTCCCTGGCTGTCAAGCCTCTCGGCCCACTCCCAGTCTTAGACAAGAAGCGACCCACTCTCTCTCTCTCTCTCTCTCTCTCTGTCTGTGGCAGCACTGAAGTCTCTCTCTAGATGTCCAAAGTAGCAAGTATTCCTCTCTTCCTTTTTTCTCTTCTTCATTTTTATTTTGCAAATGTATTTTTCTGTCGTGTTTTTTTAGTGTCTAAAATGCTCTAAAGGTGTTTGCAAAAATGCCTCAAAGACAGGACAAGATTGGGGTAGGCTGCTCATTTGCTCGGCCATGAGTTATAAAAACAATTGACAATTCAACAACATATATATAATTGATGAAATTCCCATTGTTCACAATTTTCTGAAGTCATATACACAAAAGGCACTGAAAAAATATGTAGGAAGATCCAGATATTTGATTGACACATCTTAATAAACATAGCTAAAGATCTCCAAGTATCTACTCATAGAAACTTGATCATAAAATTATGCATGGTTTCAGGTTTATCTTGGGACTACATGCTTTCTCTAGCAACACATATATGCGTATTTGGCCGGACAGAATACCTTGTATACGAATAAGATTTATAGATGGATTTCTTGGGTTAAAACACTTCTAAATTGGACTTATCAATAAAAACTCCTTTAAAAAAATAAATATAATTATTTGAATTTTTTATTTAAATATTCTATTTAACTAATTATAAAAAATAAACAAACTAAAAATAATTTTTCGGAAATGAGCCCAGCCTCGCATAACTCTGACGCACCCCTGCTCGCAGGTTCGTCCCTGGCTGTCAAGCCTCTCGGCCCCTCACACTCCCAGTCTTAGACAAGAAGCGACCCACTCTCTCTCTCTCTCTCTGTCTCTCTGTCTGTGGCAGCACTGAAGTCTCTCTCTAGATGTCCAAAGTAGCAAGTATTCCTCTCTTCCTTTTTTCTCTTCTTCATTTTTATTTTGCAAATGTATTTTTCTGTCGTGTTTTTTTAGTGTCTAAAATGCTCTAAAGGTGTTTGCAAAAATGCCTCAAAGACAGGACAAGATTGGGGTAGGCTGCTCATTTGCTCGGCCATGAGTTATAAAAACAATTGACAATTCAACAACATATATATAATTGATGAAATTCCCATTGTTCACAATTTTCTGAAGTCATATACACAAAAGGCACTGAAAAAATATGTAGGAAGATCCAGATATTTGATTGACACATCTTAATAAACATAGCTAAAGATCTCCAAGTATCTACTCATAGAAACTTGATCATAAAATTATGCATGGTTTCAGGTTTATCTTGGGACTACATGCTTTCTCTAGCAACACATATATGCGTATTTGGCCGGACAGAATACCTTGTATACGAATAAGATTTATAGAATAATAACAAATTTAGGATATATAGAATAAAACCTAACCTGGAATATTAAAGTAAGTAATTTAGGAAAGTGGGATAACAAAAAGAAGCATCTACCGGTTGTATAGTCGAGACAATGTATTTAGTTGTGCAAGTAATGTATACATACACTCATAGACACATGAAACATGTTTGTTGTTACGCCATTTATTTGAGTTCAAGATAAGATTCTTTACATGGCATCACAAACAAAACACTATGGCTGTTGTTGCCAAGACAATCTTCTAATCCTTCATAGCATTAGAATCACCCTTCATTTTAACTTAAATAAAAATCATCTGATTGTTATGCTATTTTCTGAAGTCTTTTGTGTCTAAAGTTTTCGTCCGTTGTTCATATTTATAAAGGAAGAAGTCAGTTCTGTGTGACATCTCTAGTTACTGTTATGAGGTCAATAGGGCACTGCATTGTTGGATGTGGGAAGATGGTTCTTGAACAATATCCATGTTTGAAGGGTGGAAAAGCAAACCTGTTCAATAATATTTCTCGTATTGAGCCTTGGTGCCATATTGTCAAGGTTGACATCCTTCCTTACTCTGGCAACCATTTCTTAGACAAGCTTGAACTGCACATTGGCTTGAAGTTTTAAATATAAATAAAACTTGTATTGTTAATTATTTTGTTGAGATTTATCAAGCAATACCTATGTTGAGGCCTCGTTTGGGATTGGATTTTTTGCATGTCTTTTCGTAAAAACCAAAAAGTCGCTAAATAAGCGAATGCCCCACTTAGGCTGTGTTTGGATCTTAGATTTGAAGAAACATTTGTAAAGTTATGGTCACAGCAACGGATGTTGCCTCCACATCACACTTTGTTCCTCCACCTGCTAACAACACTATAGAAGAAGAGTTGGCACAACTACGGAGGCGATTGGAAGAAAAAGAAGCTAAAGTTGCCAATTTGACGACATGTATGGTTGGTGTGAACAATCAAGCCCAACAAACGGTGGGCCAAGCTCAACAAGTGGTTGGTCAGACGCATCAACCAACGGGGGCACCTCTGGAGAATGCGCTATTGAGTTAGAAGTAGTTCTACATGCAGATGGAATTAGTCATGAATCACGATATGCATGAATTAGCCCTTTGTTTTTCATTCCCTTCACAAATATCTCATCAAATTTAAGATTCTAATAGTCTTAATGACTAAATTCAATTAGGAGAAGAATAAACTCAAACATATGTAGTTATATGCAGGAATGAGGTCATAATTTTGTTTAGAGGGGTGAGGTAAGTGTAATAAAAACATAAAATTTAGCAAAAAAAAAATCAATAATTATAAATTAATTTGAACATATAATTTTAATTAAACTTGAACAATAATCTATAGTTATAAGATAATATGTCCAAATTATGTGTTCCAACACACCCACGTTAGGCATCTAACCTTATTTGGACAATTGAGTGCTATGTGTCTGACATTTGCGAAAGGTGTGTTGCCAAATTTTCAGTCCTGTTTACACTCACCTCATTTGCCAAGAAAAAACCCGATAAATGACCCCCCTCACATTCTATTGACTAATGCTCATGTTATTTGCCTCGTATATGGACAATGTTTCAATCATGTCTACTGGGGGGCGGGGCGGCGGTTACATAGTTTAGGATTATATGATGTTGAGATATACAAAGTGCAGCTGGGCTTGACACTTAACAATTTGGAGAAGATGTTCATGCCAAGGGTGGCAAACTACAGGCAAAGTGCCCAGTTGAAGTTCAAGTGTAGATATCCCTATCGGCAGTGGGAAATGTTCACTAAATATAAGACTTTGCTGATCAATGACGATAACATGTTGAACAATGTGTTAAGTGTTGGTGCAAGCTGATGTATATTGAGAAGGAGGTCGTAGGTGATGTCTTGCAGAGGACACAATTGGATTTTGGCCTTTTCACTCGTTTGATGACGCAAGGGATTGACACGACATACTATCGGTCTTCTATTTGCATCCTAGAGCATCGCAGGAAACATTTTAAGGGCATGATGTGGGATCTAGTTTTGCTGTGGGGTATGATTATGCATTTCACACTACTGTTGTAGCGATCCCAGTTTTGTCACTTTGCTGAGTATGTCGGGGATTGAGTTGTCCAGTCAGCTCGTGGGGGTCCAGGGGGCAGCGCCCCTTGGCGAGTCTTAGGGCAGCGCCCTGGCGGGGTTGAGGGGCAGCGCCCTCGAAGCAAAAATGCAAAATGCATTAGAAGTTGTTTGTCTGCTCGAGCGGTCGTTTATGCACTCGAGCGGAGAATGTTTGATTCTAGAAGTTTGACCTGTCTGCAAAAGTACTGGGAAAGTGTGTTTGACGCTCGAGCGGGGCTTTCCATGCTCGAGTAGACCATGTTATATCAGTTCGTGAATCTGATATTTCAGATCACTTTTGTATATCTCTCTCTCTCTAAAAACCCTTTCCTCTCCCTTCCCTCTACATTTTCCTACGCCAAATTGGATCAAAATCTTGATTTCTCAAGATCCATTAGAGTTCTGCCATAAGTTCTTCATCAAAATTAGTTAACTTCTCAAGGGTTTCGTTATATGCGGTGAAGATCGAGTTTCGACACCGTTGATTTTGGGGGTTTTATCTCATTTCTTCTTCAAAACTTGAGGTAGAGATTTTCTTAGAGTTATATATATATATTTTTGCAAGATCTATATGATTTTTGAAATCATCTTTTGATAGCTTTGAAAATTGATTGTTTATTCAAGAAGTTGAGCGATTTTGAAAGTGGGTTTGTCTCTTGTTCTTTTAAAATGATCTTATGGGTTTCGATTTTCGTTAATTGAAGAAAAGATGAATTTGGAAAGTTTTCTTTCAAAATATTTGAACTGTATAGTTTTGGTGAAAAAACCTAGAATTTAGGGATTTTTTTTTAAAGAGACTGAAAATCCATGAATGATATTGTTATATTTATTTTGTGTGTCAAAATAAATGGATGTTTGGAAAATTTCTTATTTATATTTATATAAATGATGAATTTCAGAAAATATGAGAATTGTTGTTCATTTTGGAAATTATTGTTCAAAATATTAAAATAGTCTTGAAATGACTAATTGTTAAGGATACTCGAGAAGAGGGAATTGTGTTATTTCTTAGATGATAAATTAAAATAAAAGTATTTATATTCATCTTGTGTTATTAGCATAACAATTCATTTGATTACATTAAATTTTGAAAGTTGATTTGAAAACTTGCATTAAGAAAAGAATGTTGAGAAACAAGTTTTCATGAAATGGTTTTGGGATAAATACGTTGGTAAGTCTTGATAGATGGTGTAGATGATATTGAATAAGTTAGCTTGAGAGTCCGGGGTGAAAGACCGAAAACCCGCGCGGATAGGTGTCGAGCCTTCCGGTTAATACCGGTAAAAATAATAATTTGGTTGTACTTGTATAGTCTACTTGCAGACACCTACCTAGGGATTACCAAAGTCGTATTTACCGCCCTTGAAATAAATTGTTAAGTTTTGAACAATTGAAATTGCATGATATCATTAAGCATGATGGTTTTCAAAAGATAAAAATGTGGATTTATTTCAAAAAGGGCATAGCATGGCATGTGCATTTCATCTCTTGAGATTTGTATAAAATGTAATACTTTGTTAAGAATTTCCTACTGGGCTTTATGCTCACCCTACGGATTTTTGTGCAGGAAAAGATGTGGTGATGCCGCCTAACTAAAGGCGAAGAAATGTGTGTTGAGAGTACGAGACTCTCATTTTGCTGTGACTCTGTGTGTAAGCAAGGACTATATGTGTATGGATTTGAATAACCGTTTTGTGTAACCAGACTCAAGCCTTGAAAACTTGTAAACCCTTGGGGGTATTTATTTGTTTATTTTTTTGTTGTTGGATTAATGTATTATTGCATGAAGAACTATTGTATCATGTAATGTAAGTTTGGAGATTTATATCCGGTTTTCTTTGAAAGAGCCATGATTATTGTATTATCATTTGGGTTAGAAATTTGGGCCGTTACAACTGCTCTAGATTTCCCTAGTTGTACTCAACACGCTAGTCCTATTGAAGTTGGGGGAAGCATACCGGGGATTGAACTATGTGCAGTTTGCTGATAGTATTATGAACAATGAGTTATTTGGTGTTGATGCCTCACTAGAATAAGAGGAAAATGAAATGTTTGTTGAAGAATGGGGTTTAGACCAGCACGATGATGAAGAAGATGATGTTGTCATTGCTGGCCATGACACCTCAGAGCCTAATGTCGTTAATATGCATGAGCCTAGAATCCATATGGGGAAGGGCCAAGCTGAAATAGCATACTTAAGGTTGATGAATTTGATGAAATTAAATATTTGATATAAATAAATATATAACATTAAAAATATGACATAAAATAAAAAATATTTGTATATGTCGTGTCACGTGTCTGTGTTCGTGCTTCTTAGCTCACCACCTATCCATAGATGGCTTGGGCTCCAATACTTCCAGAGCTTATAATAGTGGTATCCATGCATGTAGTCGAACTTGATAACACTTGAATAGCTCATCCACAGTAACCCCATAACTCAGGTGTTTATGTTTCTCACTATCACCCTCTCCATCTCTAAGGCTACCTTCGTCTTCTCCTCTGCTGCCTCCAGCGATCTTTGGCCGTTGCATATTCTCAAACGTCTGTCCATAACTGACCACCTCTCATACCTAATACCTACATAACCTAAATTGGGTTCGAGTTCTTTCATCTAGTGTGTTAGTTGCTTCAATCAGCGGATTTTGGTGCTGATTAGATGCTTAAGTTTCACAAGAGACATGATGAACCAAATTACCACAATTCAATTTAAACTATCTTTATTATTTGTATTAGTGTTAGATGCTAGACAATGCTACAAAAGTACGTTTCCGTGCTAAGTGAAGTAAATTCAATGCATAAATGCACCATATAGTATGTGTTTATGATAACTCGGTAAAATAAACTTGCTGGATAGATGAACCTTCAACCAAATCCAATACTAGGTCAACCTTGTATGTTGAGTAGTGGGGCAATGCCATCCTTTCGTTTATATGCTTTGTAAAGTATTTAATTTTATTGTCTCGGATAATTGAAGTGAAAATTAAGAATAGCTCCAATAAAATTTTACCTACATAAAAAAAAGAAAGAGAAAGGATTTAAAAAAAAAGGTATTTGCATGTCAAATAGCTGTTTCTGGAAAATGTTTTCAAGCTTCAGCCAAACACTGAAATTTTCCTGTGGAAAGATTTTCTTGAAAAAAATATATTCAGAAGTAAAATATTTTACATTGAAACAAATTTGTAGTGTTAACTTATAATTGTCAAATTAAAATGAATTGTTCAAATTTTTGATTTCCTCTTATAAGTTACAACTATTTGCCATGACATCACAAAGGAGGTTTGCTTTAGCTACATACTGTGAGGGATGGATGTTGGGACACGTGTTGGCAATGCCCTTGGATCTGAGAGAGTTCTATGAGTGGCTTATTTGTCTCAGCCTCTCAGGATTTATTTTTCTGATTATCAAAGCACCAACAGCAGTAGTCTGTTGCACTTACAGTCGTCTTCAGCGGTAGTTTTTGGATTTAAAATCAGACTGATTATGACCATATGAAGCAGTCATTGTACTGTAAAACAGTGGCCATGGATGCATTTGTTATGAGATTCGATGAAGCAATTGATGATATTTTTATTATTATTTTTTTTAGACAAATTTTCAAATAGTTAAGGCATCTTGTAGTATTCTTTCAAAAAGAGTTGATGGGAGCTGAACATGTCAACAAATTTAAAATTTTCTGAAGATTTGACACTAAATTCTAAGTTTTTATTTAGTGGGGTGGCAGTAGGTTTATATAAGTAATATCTGTTTTCTTGATCTTTGTGTGCTAAAACAGTCTAATAGATTCTCAATCATTTTGCATTCATAGTACACTGACAACTCATAATTTTGGATATTGTTTAAGTTCTTTATGGTATATTTTTACTTGACCTTGCAGATGATCGTAAAATGTGATTTTGCAGGTTTGATGTCTTTGTTATTTAGGCGTTGCCCTTTCCTACAATAACATCATAGCACATGGCACTAGCAGTCTCTGTTGTTCAATCGTGTGGCACGGTATAAATGAAATCTACACTCATCTTTTTTTTAGCTTTTTGTTCCTTATGCTTGGTTGTTTCTTAATGGAGAGTGTAATGGTCATTTTTCAAGGTTGATGATAGGGGTATCCAAGCCATCTTTTCTACCCAATTTTTTAACTGTCCTAGTTTTATGGACATTTTTGGCCATTGGATTGCTGAATTTGATTAAGGATTGATGCTTATATCCTTATACATATGTTCCCAATCTGATATTTATGCAACAAGATGTTTAGGTTCTCTTTGTAGCGTTGTGATTGCTCAATCAAGAAATAGCAGTTCAAAATTGACTGTTTTGAGCTTAGTTTAGACATGATTTTTAAGGAATTGAATACATTCATGAGAATTTATCCCATTTCAGAGTGAACCACAAAAATCCTTGCATAATAAACAACAACAATAACAATAACAATAACAATAACAATAGTAGTGCAAATTAAAATTCACCCTCTTTCTACTTACTTTGGGCCCCGATTTGTCATTATAATGTGGATTGAACATGTTTAGAGGTTTGACAAGGAAATTACTCAATAGCTGGACGATTGAGTGCATTTAATAATGCTATCATTTACCATTTGGGTTTAAAAATTCTCTTCCAAAGGGTCTTGCTTACAAGTTAAAGAGATTTGACTTGTCACCAAATGCTGTCTACACTTTGTAGATTAACAAATTTATTTTGTAACTTTAAATTCATTAAATATTTTGTAAGAAAAATTAATGTATATTATTGATTGATATATGTTATTTATTACAAATGGTGAGGGGCTCCTTATATAGGAGATGTAGTGGAGTAGGTGGTAGTAGGTGGTAGATAATGTTTTGTCCATTGTTTATTGTCTCAAATATTTGGTGTGGGAATTATGAGTCCTGCTTCACCATTACAGCATATTATATTCTTTGGTATTGCATAAGAATGGATGTATCTTTTTTACTTATTTTTATCCTTGTTTTTTGGTGTTTCTATTGCTGTAGCTTATATAACTTGTGCTTCTTTACACATGTCCATACTATCTTTTGTAACCTAGTCTTTGTATGATGTTATCTTAATTGCTGTTAGTTATATTATGGTATATCATATCTATAGTCCCGGATAATTTCAATTGCATGATTTGTACGTTACGTACCTAAATCATTATAGATCTCATTTTGAAATATCAGGGTCCACCCATTTAATGTTTAACTGTGCTTTTCCATTTTCCACCTGAACTTGATGGTAGCTGAAATCATTTCTCCTTTTTCTTAGTGTTTTGGTGAGAAATGCTTGAGAAGTGTGATAACATTTGAAGCAGAGAAAGGATATATGAATGTTCTCTGTAATAAAATGAGGTATTGTTGGTGGTTTTTTATCAAATTATTTAAACAAAGATGGGAGTGAGAGGGAAGTGCTATACTGAATGTTCATGATTTGTTACAGGTTTAAAAATTTTCTGTTCTCTAGGGTTTCAAAATTATGCTCTCAATCAAAGCATAAGATTGCAGAAAGGCTGTTGGAGGAAGTGGAAAGGTATGAAGCGGCAAGTGTCACAGACCGTTCAAAGTTGCTTAATAAGGTTTGCAAGCTAGTGTTTATGTTGCATGATATATGTAGCTTGGCATTATTTAGATTGCATTCATTTTAAATCAGCCAAGGCTATGTGATTTGCTTATGTACCTTCTATGCCCTTCTACCTAAATTTGTTGTCTTATAATTTGCAATTAAAGATTTTGGCCTTGTTTGGTTTGTTTTTGAGAAACAAATTTTGGAGAAATTTTCTAAAATTTTGTTTGGTTTGGTGATTTTGGAATTTTTTTTTTCCAAAATCACTTTCTCTCTCCTACACATCAATCAATCACTTTTTCTCTCTTCTCTCTCCTTCTCAATCATTTTTCCTCTCACATACATCTACTCATCAAATTTTTCCAAACTCCCATACTCCAAATCTATTTCCAAAATATACAACCAAACAAACCAAAAAAATTTCTAAACTCTTTCGAGGTGTGGCCACCGCCCTTAACGCGGATGCGCATGTCGACGCCGGCGAAGCGTTGGCGGCCGAGGAGGAGGATGGGCTCGTAGGCCTTGTAGCGGAGGATCTCAGGCTCCACCAGCTCGATGGGGCAGCCGTTGATCTTGATCAGGCCACGGCCACGCTTGCAGTAGGTGACGGCCACGGCGGTCTTCTTTCGGCCGAAGCACTGGACCGACTCTACCGGAGGAGCTGCCATTGTTAGAGAGATTGGGCGACTGCAAAACCCTAACCCTAGATAAAAATGAGGAGGATGAAGGTTTGAAAATGGTAGAGTCGGAACGTCAGTGATGATGGGGAATTTTTGAGAGAGGAAAGAAAAGCGGAGGAAGAGAAGACTTTGTGGCAGTGGAGTGAAGGTATGTGTACCAATCTCCAGCGGGCAGTGAAGGCAAGGTTGCCGACCGACTGCCCGCCGGTGAGAGAAATATAGGTTTAAATCGTATCTCTGCTCTGATACCATGTTAAATAAATGATGTATTATTGATTGATATCTGATTATTGTCTATTACAAATGGTGAGTGGCTCATTATATAGGAGAGGGTGAGTGTAGTAGGTGAGGAGTAGGTGGTGGTAGGTGATGGTAAATTGGTGGTAGGTGATGGTAAATTCTAACACTATTGATAATTTATTCTTGCATTGCCTTGTAGCTATGGCCTTATGGCACAAATTGTTGCAGTTGGTGGAGATTGATTGGGTGGCTCCTAACTCTTGTGTTAAGATGTTTATGATTGATTACAGGTGCTTTTGATCTAATAAGAAGGCTCGAGGATTTTGGAGTTGTCACAGTTGTGTATTTTGTGCTATGTTTTGGGTGATTTGATTAGAAAGAAATGCTAGAGTTTTTGAGAACTAGTTTAAATATATTGGAGGGTAGTGATTTGATTAGAAAGAAATGCAAGAGTTCTTGAGAACAAGGTTAAATATATTGGAGGGTAGTGGTTCAATATTTGTTCTCTGTCTTCCTTTTGGGCTTTAGTGTCTTCTCCTTAAGGGATACCTGCTTTTGGTTTCTAGAGATTGATGGGCAATATGTGACTCGTAATTTAGTTTTTCTCTTTTTTGGGGATTTTTGGTCCTTGCGTACCTCGTTCTCTTTTTAATTAATAAATTTTCTTATTGTTGATAAAAACACAAAATGTAGGCTGTTCAGGAGCTTGAATGGCTTGCCAGGGACCACGTGCTGCTTTATTATGATAAACTTCTGATCAATGCTTGTTATGACCTTCTCCGTTTTTATTTCACTATTTTTGTATTTTGTTGGTAAGTGTCTTGAATATATCCTCAGTAAAGGGTCTACTGATATAGTGACTCTTTACTTTTCTATGCTAGTAAGCTGTTCATTTTCTCTGCATATTTAGACAGCTGCATATTTTCTCTGCATGTTTTCATTTCTCAGAGAGATTGTTTACATGGTTGCATTGTGCTTTGCTTATAGGTATCTGTCTTAATGGGTTACAATAGTCTACATGATTTAATTCAGAGCGAAAGAGCTCAAAAGGATTCTGGTATGAATGTTAAAGATACAATGGTTGATTTTGATGTCTCCTTGGCGTGTAAACGATTTCCATCCATCATATTGGGTTGTTCTCCCGCGGTGGAACTGTATGATGAGACCTCATGTTGGTTTGGAGAGAACAGCCTTTTAACATCTGAAATTTGTAAAGGATTTCTCTCTAGTTCTGTGGGTGCAAAGTGGCTCATTCCAGATAATCTACGTGAAGCATGGCCTCCTCTTTATCCCGGCCTTCCAAATGCGAACTCTAACTTATTTAGCGAAGAAAGTTCTTACGCTTCACCTTTATCTTCTGAGTCCCTGAATTTGGAGTCTGAAACAAATTCAGTTCTATATGTCACTACGGAGGAATCTTCCACTAGAGATGGGTTTGAGAGTAAACAAAATGCTGCATCAGTTGAGTTGATTCTCGACAAATCTATCAGTTGCATACCTGGATTCAGTAAGAGGCAGTTTCGTCTGCTGGAAAACTGTGGCTTTCACACGGTGGGCTCTTTTTAGAGGTTATGCTAACATCCTATTATTAAAATGTTTTTAATATCTAATTGAGGCTTGAGATCACGTTTCCTTTTTGTGTGTTAGTTGCGGAAATTGCTGCACCATTTTCCTCGGACCTATGCTGATCTACAGAATGCGCAGATTGGAATTGACGATGGACAGTACTTGATTTTTATTGGGAGAATCTTAACTTCCAAGTGAGTTTGGGTATTTGGTTAGTAAATATTGATCTTCTTGACCAGATTCCTGGATGTACAAGGACCATTTCTTGATTTGTGTGGGTCATCCTTGCACGGGGCCTGTGCTAATCTTCACTGTGTGATTCAATTTTATCAGGTTTTCCTGAAGTGACCAATAGATGTTCTTTGGTTGGGCATTGAAATATTCCATTCATATTGGATTCTCTGTTCTTATGTATAGAAGACATTCTCACTTTAATTATTTAAAATTATTCTTGATTAAAAAAGAAATTTGGAATAGAGAGATGGAGAAACAATGCCCTGGTCTTTTTATTTTTTATTTTAAAGAACAAATAAAACAGATTTGATGCAAGAAACAAAGGATTGGATTCATTGGATATTGGAATGGCCATGTGATGCAAGGTAGAGAAGAAAAAAACACCAATTATACAAGTAGAGAAACTACAAAACTGCGAAAGAACAATTCTTCTAAGAGATCCCTGAAGAGAAGAATTTCTCTCTGTTAAAATTGATGTATTATTGATTGTTGTATGTTGTGTTTACAATGAGTCCTATATATAGAAGATTAAAGGAGGTAGGTATGTAGTAGGTGGAGTAGTTTTGTGTGTTAGTTGCGGAAATTGCTGCACCATTTTCCTCGGACCTATGCTGATCTACAGAATGCGCAGATTGGAATTGACGATGGACAGTACTTGATTTTTATTGGGAGAATCTTAACTTCCAAGTGAGTTTGGGTATTTGGTTAGTAAATATTGATCTTCTTGACCAGATTCCTGGATGTACAAGGACCATTTCTTGATTTGTGTGGGTCATCCTTGCACGGGGCCTGTGCTAATCTTCACTGTGTGATTCAATTTTATCAGGTTTTCCTGAAGTGACCAATAGATGTTCTTTGGTTGGGCATTGAAATATTCCATTCATAATGGATTCTCTGTTCTTATGTATAGAAGACATTCTCACTTTAATTATTTAAAATTATTCTTGATTAAAAAAGAAATTTGGAATAGAGAGATAGAGAAACAATGCCCTGGTCTTTTTATTTTTTATTTTAAAGAACAAATAAAACAGATTTGATGCAAGAAACAAAGGATTGGATTCATTGGATATTGGAATGGCCATGTGATGCAAGGTAGAGAAGGAAAAAACACCAATTATACAAGTAGAGAAACTACAAAACTGCGAAAGAACAATTCTTCTAAGAGAACCCTGAAGAGAAGAATTTCTCTCCAAATTACATTTGAACACAAATGATGAAAGCTCCATCTCTTCAACGTGTGAAACAAAGTTCCACATTGCCTGGGTACGAAGAAGATGTGCACGTTATAAGTGCGAGCAGTGTACTGCAGGGATGTGCCCTGCATGTTAGGCATGAGGAAGGGTGTAAAACAAAGTCCCACATCTCTTGGTATAAAAGGGATGCATGGCGTATAAGCTTGAGGTCACTCTCACTTCAGAAGCTAGCTTTTGGGGCTGAGTTCTGTCCATGATCGTATCACACAGGGATCCTTACAATTGCTCTCTTAGTGTTAAAGGCTCTTTCACACTAGAGTGACATACTATCATCTTCCAGTCTGGTGCTTCAATTTTTTTCCTTCTGTCATGACTTTTAGGAAGGCAGTAGAGACTAGTGGCAGCTGGTCTGGCTAAAGTTGTAATCTGGATCCCATGCTAGATCACTGTCCTACAGTCCTCAACCAGAATATGGGTGGTTGGGGGGGGGGGGGGAAGGACTGTAGGACAGTGATCTAGCATGGGATCCAGATTACAACTTTAGCCAGACCAGCTGCCACTAGTCTCTACTGCCTCCTAAAAGTCATGACAGAAGGAAAAAATTGAAGCACCAGACTGGAAGATGA